TACTACCTTTTGTATCACTAGCCCCTCCCTCTTAGATTGTAAGCTCCAAGGATCAGGGCCCTCCTATCCCTCTTGTATTGAACTGTATTGTTACTGTTTTGTCTCCCGTCATATTGTAAAGCGCTGAGCAAACTGTTGGCGCTATATAAATCCTGTATAATAATAATAATACACAACAAACTGTGATGCACTGTGTGTTCTGACAACTTTTCCGTCAGAATCAGTCTTATCTTTTTCAGCAATTTGAGCTACAGTCTTCTATTGGATCGAACTACATGGGCCAGCTTTCGATCCCTACAATTCTCATACCTTGGGGATTGGGAAGGAATTTTTTTCTCTCCTTGCTGGAGCAAATTGGATCATGCTTTGCTGTGGATTTTTTGCCTTCCTCTGGATCAACTGTGGGTATAGGATTGTGCATATAGGATTGCATAAAATTTTTTTTCTTTTTATTGGTTGAACCAGAGGTCTTTTTTCAGCCAGACTATGTAACTATGCAACTATGAACCTTGGCCGCCTGTGACCCTGTCACCGGTTGACTAGTTTTCCTTCCTTGGACCACTTTAGTTAGGCCCTGACCACTGTAGACTGGAAACATCCCACACAAGATGCAGATTTGGAGCTCCTATGACCCTCACCTAGCCATTACAATTTGACCCTTGTCAAATTAACTCGTAACTAGTTACGCTTGCCTGATTTCAACACATCAACAGGGACAACATACTCGCTTGTTGTTATTCACTTTACCTGTCAGTAGTCATGATGTTATGGTTGACTAGTGTATACTACAAACCACTAGTTCTGGATTTGTGGTTGACTACAGGGGCATTAAGGAATAATTCATATTCCTACTCCAACTGCCCTAAAACGAGGGTTAACTCCTATTTTTTAATCTGTAAAATATATTTTGTTTTAGGAAGGCTCTATGTTTACATTGTTGGGAATACACTTTATTATATACTTGCATGCACAAAGATTCTAGAGCTACAACAACCCTCTCACTAAGCATTCAGATTTAGAAAGTTGCTGCAATGCCAACAGAATATAAGCAGCTAGGAATCTGCAGTACCATTTACTAGAATCTAGTGAATATGTAACACCCTCCTAATTTACCTAGGGGGAGCTAGACAGGGGCTGATCAGCACCCCAGGTGTAATAGCCAGAGAGGTCAAATTGTGGTCAGGGCTGAGAGACTCTGCAGGACATCCCCTCTGGAATTTCCTGCTGCTCTGAGGGTTTTGGAGAAGGGCATTGGAGGCAGTGGGTGGATCTAAGGAGTGGCTGGCTGCATGCTAGAGGGATCTCAGCCAATCCCCAAGAGAAGCATTGACAGGGGGCTGGGACTCCATTAAAAGTGCAAGAGCCTGCTCAGTAGCAGCAGTGTGGAGAGTCTGGTGGAAGAAGGAGTAGGAAGATGTGAGGCTGGAGGAAGAAGGCCAATGGGATAGGGCCTGCCTGCGAGCCTGGAGCTGGAAAGGCAGAAAACTGGGAGCTCACTGGCCCCCTGAGTGGGTGCCACCTGTATGGCAGGGATAGAGCAGCCCAACTGATAGGTCTGTTAGCTGCAGCCAACCCGCAAACAGTACAGGAGAGGATCTGAGTGAGTACACCTGCAACCCCTGGGCAGATAGAGGAAGGACCACTCTGGTGGGAAACCAGATTAGCCTGCTACTAGTGACTGTTCACCTCATTTAAAGGGGACAGGAGCTAGAACGCCTGCTCAGGAAAAGTCTCCAGGTTGCTGGGTGAGGAGGGGTTCATCTAGGGACTGGGGGGTGGTACAACTAGGAGATGCTGGCTAGCACTCAAACAGAGACTGTGTTGCAGAAGGAGAAGCTTGTGACTAGTTCCAGGAAGTGTGTGCTCTGTTATTGGCTCCCATGGGCATCCTTTATCCCCCCCCCCCTTTTCCCTTACCCTATCCCAGTTAAATCCCCTCAATAAAATACAAAACAGAAGCTCAAGAACGGATTTTTGACTCGGAACACAAGTTGTGTGGAGAATGAGAATTGACTGCCTGTGCAGGACTATAGAGATATTCAATTCATCAGCAACCCTTAAGAGAGGATTGCTACAAATGTATATAGTTTATCTGGAAGGGATTCCTGTTTTTCTACACAAATGTAGCTTCACTTTCAAGGGTCTTGGTCTGGGTTTGGTCTACCCAAAAATAATATCTTGGTTATATAGGAGGAGCCGGTTTGGTTGACAAAGTCCTAGGCTTCAATATTGAGATCTCCCTGCCTAAATTCCCAACTTCTTTCCTGTCCATTGGAGAGTTTTGGGTGTCCCCGCCAAACTGTTTCAGTTGCTCCACCTGGGGGTTTTGGGTGTCCCTGCCCAAGTTTGTGCGCCCTGGTTCCTCCTGTTACATTCTCCATGATATAAAATAAATAAGGATCCAGCAAGGAGGATGGGAACACCTCTTAATGGCCACAGAAGATGTTTAGATACCCCACCAAAAGAGAGAGTGCTACAAGAGACTGTCAAGTAGTTTAAATGTCCAGCATCTACCAAACACTGAAATATAAACTCTGGTTGGACTGAACCTTTAAGGGTGCCTTGTTTTTTATAAATGTACTTGCCGTTTCATAATTTCAGAGCTACGTGATCCTATATATAATGCTTGGCTTCAAGCCCAGTTTTTCCCCATGGACATCCACCAACAACTGAGATTTCACATTCGGGTGGGCTGACCCTTTAAATGAGTCCAAACATCTGCACCGCAAATGTGACAGGTAACACGTTTCTAGGATAATTTAATTTGACAGCTGTAAAGTCTAGTGCAAGTCAAGCACAGTTTGCCCTGCTGTAAAAAATGAAAACTTTAGATAAACTCATATGAACTCCACATATGGTACAAGATGTAATTATGTAACAGATGTCTCCCCTGTCTTCTCAGACACAACTATTCCACTGGATGAAGAATGGCCTCCTCCTCCCGTACAGACCTCACCTCCCGTGTAAAGCTCAGAAGCTAATCTCACTTAACCCAGTGTAATTAGATGACCTCATTAACAACATGGGGAAAAATGCCTTCATTGTGGTGGCAAACAGACAACGGGAAACAACTAATTACAGACAACGGAGTCCTGATTCACACCTGAGAGATTTATAGCTTGAAGCTCAAAGCTACAAAAGTTTCAACAACCAAAATTCTAAACTTTTCAATTGTGTCGGTTCACAAATGAGTGCTGTAGCCTGATGCCTCAGAAAGGAGGGAACTTTATTTAGAGAGTGAAGATAAGTCCTCATGCACAGTGGTGCATTTAGGTTTTGTGCTGCCCTAGCCAAAACGAAAATTGGCACGCCCCCGCAGAAAGAGCCGACATTGACCAAGAGCACCCCTGCCCTCCACCCGAGCCTTCCACTACCACTTCCCCCCCACACCATCCCCCACGGCGAGAGAGAAAGGCACTCGCCTTCGCAGCTCGGGACATCCCCAGGAACGAGAGTCGGGCTGTGCATACACCGTCATGAAACCCACAGCATCTCTTGGAACCCACCAGGTCCCCATGCCGCGTGTCCCTTCTTCCAAGGGGCAGTGCTGCCCCCCCTGAAAAATGCCGCCCTAGGCAAATGCCTTGTTAGCCTTGTGGTAAATACACCCCTGCTCATGCACACGGGACGTTTTGAGAACGCTGGCAATGTTAGTTGTGTAAAGTCACGTTAAAAATGTGAGGTTTTCAGCTTTTTTTTTTAGCGTTTTTGCATTATGTGTTTAGTGACGTTTTCAAAAAAGTCCAAAATTGCTGGTTTGCATTTTTACAGCTAAAAAAACTTCTCTAGAAACACACTAGTCCTGGGTTTTTTTTCGCAGCCAAAAAACGCTGATTATAGCCTATGTGTGCATGGACACATAGGATAACATGCTGGGGGGTTTACTGGCTGTAGAAAAAAACATCAAAAGCCAAAAACTGCCGCTGTAAAAATGTCCAGTGTGCATGAGGACTAAATGTCAATCCGGTGTACAGCCATTCACTTGTATTGGCAGCTGTCTGCGGCATGTGCAACTTTCCCGGCGGCAGAAAGCATTGTGGATTTTACGCCTCAGCACACAGGAACTGCTCAGCATCCATGTGCATGAGGCCTTTGGGTGCATTTTAGGTGCTTAATGCATATAGGAATGAATAACTGAGCCCTCTAATTGTTTTCTTTCCTCTTAACAGTGTTCCATTATTTTATACTGTCATGCACACTCAGGAGCCAGAACATGGAGAGATTTAGCACATCTGCTGCAAAGAAGGGTAAAAACAGGGCAGTGATCCATTTTAGAAGACTGCAGATTGGTATATAAATCTCCCTTTCTGCTGCTGAAAATTAGCACTACACCAATAGAAGGCGTGTCTCTGGACACGTAATGTGTGTGCGCAATAAACAAATTCAGAAGATTACAAAACCCACCAAGTAAGCCAGAGATAGTATAATTAAAGACTCAACATACAAATTCATGACTGGTTTTCATTACAGTGAATGTAAAGCCAAAACCTCTCTTTTAATCGTTTCGCTGACGGTGCTTTTTGTATTTTTTTGCCATTTTGCCCACACAGGAAAAAAAACCTCACATTTTGTACGTGAAATCACACTTTAACCGCTAGCCTACAGGGCACTTATGCCCCCTTCCTGCCCAGGCCAATTTTTAGCTTTCAGCGCTGTCGCATTTTGAATGACAATTGCGCGGTCATGCAACACTGTACCCATATGACATTTTTATCATTTTTGTGACAGATAGAGCTTTATTTTGGTGGTGTTTAATCACCTCTGGGATTTTTATTTTTTCTTAAACAAACCAAAAACCACTAAAAATTTTGAAAAACAAAAAGTTTTTTCTTAGTTTTTGTTGTAACATTTTTGTAAATAAGTGATTTTTCTCCTTCACTGATGTGCGCTAATGAGGCTGCAGTGATGGGCACTGATAGGCTGCACTGATGGACACTGATAGGTGGCACTGGTACTTGGCACTGATGGGCATTGACAGGCATCACTGATGGGCACTGAAAGGCAGCACTGATACATGGCACTGATATGCGGCACGGACTGGCACTGTTAGGTGGCACTGATAGGCAGCACTGACTGGCACTGATAGGGGGCACTGATTGGCACTGATGGGTGACACTGAAAGGCAGCTCAGATGGGCACTGACATGTGGCATTGATGTGCACTGGTAGGCACTGATATGTGACATTGATGTGGCACTGATGAGCACGGACACAAAGCACTGATGGACACTGACAGGTGGCGCTGCTGGGGCTACACTGATCATCAGGGCCCTGATGATCAGTGTACATGACCCCTCCGCGGAAAGCCGATTACCGGCTCTCCTCCTCACGAGCTGTCAGAGTGACAACTCGAGAGGAGATAAATGCTGATAACCGGCATTTCCCTGTTTACCCTGATTGGACACAGCTGATATCATGACCGAGCTGACATCTTCGGCTCTTTCCGTGATTGGTGATCCGCTGTGTCCCTCCGATCGCCGCGCTTCGCGCTCCCTGAGCCGCGCATGAACGGTGAGAATGGAAGGACGTCACATGACCTCCTCCCAGAACGAGAGAACCACCTTGCACCCGTCATATTACTATATGGCGGGCGGGAGGCGGTTAAACCCCAAAACATCATGTTTACTGAAAGAAATTGACCCTGCACAATGAAATGGTGGTGGTTGTGATTGTTTATATCAGGGGTCCCCAAACTTGTTACGCAAAAGGCCAGTTTACTGTCCCTCAGCCCGGGTTCACATACGTGCGGTATGGTATATTGCATGTGATTCACACAGGTACCGCCTCGCATTCCTGTGCAAATCACATACAATTTGTGTGCGGTGCAATTGGAGACATACCTTTTGTATTGCTCTATTCGCACCACACCCGAAACGTGCAGGACCCTTTTTTGGGTCCGCACTAGAATCGGATCGCATGAGTATTCACACCTATGTGATCAGATTCTGCACATTGCACCGCTTTCAAGGTGTTGTTAACATACACACACGCAGCGGTTTGCATGAAAGTGGTGTGATTCTGATGTGGTGCGGAATTCGCACTGAAAACGCTGTGAATTCCGCACCGCATCAGTGTGAACCAGGGCTCAGACTTAAGAAGGGCCAGAGAATTGGGAGTACAAAAGGTCATGACTTACGTAGAATAAACAATGTCCCATCTTTGGTGTTAGTGGGAGGAATGGAGCCACATCATTGGGCCCTATTGTTGGTGTCTGAAAGGAATTGTGCCCCACTGAGAGGAATTGTGACCCATCATTGGGAGTTATTCTGCCCCTTCACTGGTGTCAGAGGGGGGATTATGCCCCATTGTTGATATCCGTGGAGAAAAATAGTGCCCCAAGGGCCAGATAAAAGTAAGCAAAGGGCCACATCTGACCCCTGGACTGCAGTTTGGAGACCACTGGTTTATATTATACATTATTTGTGGTACTATTAACCACTTGCCCTCCAGAGGATTTACCCCCCTTCTTGACCAGGCCATTTTTTGCGTTACGGCGCTGCATTAATTTAACTGACAATTGTGCGGTCATGCAACGCTGCACCCAAATGAATTTTACGTCCTTTTCTTCCCACAAATTGAGCTTTCTTTTTCGGTGGTATTTGATCGCCTGTGCGGTTTTTATTTTTTGTGCTATAAACAAAAAAATACCAACAATTTTGAGATAAACAATATTTTGACTTTTTGCAATTAAACATGTCCAGTAAAAAAGGTTTTAAAAAATAAAATTTAGTCATAAATTTAGGCCAAAAATGTATTCTGCGACATGTCTTTGCTAAAAAAAAAAAATCCCAATTTGTGTAAATTAATTAGTTTACGTGAAAGTTATAGCATTTACAAATGGCGGTATATACTGGAATTTTTTTTTTTCACTAGTAATGGTGACAGTTAGCAACTTATAGCAGGACTGCGATGGGCATTCTGACACTGTCTTGGTGTCACTGACATCCCTAGTGACACCAATACAGTGATCACTGCTAATATAAAGCACTGACACTGTACTAATGACACTGAGCAGGAAGGGGTTAACATCTGGGGTGATCAAAGGGTTAACTTGCTGTGTGTGTGCTTCACTGTAAGCACACTGCTTTGTATGGCTCTGCTATGCTGGCATTTTCTTACTTCGCTCATCACAAAACAACTTCAGAATCTGCAGAATTTACCACCCTTAATCTGTTATCAGATCAGGCTCAGGCCAAAAGGCCTTACTGCCAGATCTGGATTGTTCAAAGGAATATATTAATAGCAACATAAAAGCTTTTATAACAAGAAAAAAACCCCCCACAAAACTCTCGCAGCTATTCTGTTGTCCTAATTCCACCGTCGTACTCTCCAAGGACTAGATGGAATGTTGAGAGACTGCTTTTCACTTAAAAACATGTTAATACCAAACCTCGAACCTGTAGGAGTAATGTTTAGGATTGGGCGTGATGGAGCAGCATTGGTACTGATGCCCAGTTTTAACTATTCTACAGTTTTTGACATTGAAACCCAATTAAACCGTCTGTATTTACTACTGTAATGCATATTCACCAATATAGTCTGTGTATCTCTATATAATAGGCTCTGCAGCAAAGGAGAATCAGGCTGCTATCTCCCAAAAGCAATGGTCTGGGCCTCCAGCAGTCCTTTCCCCTGCATACTGTTCCAATCAACAGCACTGCTCAGCAAGCAGTGTTAGAAGGGAGACCACTGGGGAAACGGGTCGCTACTTTTGTGTGGGAGTGTTCTAATTTTCTTGTGTGCTGCTGGTTGCTAGGACGCAGGCAGCAATACAGTGCCAATGGTTGCTAGGAAACAGGTAGCTGCCAGCATCCTAGCAACCAATGATCCTGCCACCGTCTGATTTATTTCAAATTGTAAACAACTTGGTGGACATCCTGGGTGAAGTCATTGACTAAGTTTGGTCATGATCATATTTGGTCAATAATGTCAAGCAGCATAACTGGTCAGCTTGTAACGTTCAGCAGCCAGCCGGGAAGCTGTCATCATGAAGATCGTTGTGTATGGGTCATCATGTTTGTGACAGCAGGGTGTGATTTTTCATGATTGCCACTGAATCTACATCACTTGACGACATGTGATGATGGTATTTACACCTTGGAACATGCTCGCTGCACCTCACTTTCCTGGTCAACCAGGCTGCAAGCTCTTGTAAGGGTCTAGTAAAAACCATTCTCAATTCACTTTAAAATTCCATTTTTCCTGCAGTACTAAATAATGTGTTCTCCAAAGGTTACATATGAAGCTGGGAAGTTATTAAACCCAGATACACAAATACATGACAGAGCTACATTGCTGGCACAATCCACCATCAGCTGTAATGCATTATTACAAAGATTCCTCTGTAAGCTGCCAAAGCAGGGAGATGTCACTCAGAACCTGCAGCAAATGTAGAAGCTATAAAAACAACCTATTAGGCTCCATGTACACGGGACGTTTGGAAAACTCTTCTGAACAATGGAAACGGACTGCTGGAAAATGTAGGTTAAAAAATGTCTGTTTAGCCGCATTTGCATATCAGGTTTATGAGCGTTTGTGTTTAGAAGTGTTTTTTTAAGACAACCTCAGGAGACCCTCTCAAATGCCCAGAATGCACTGAAAAATAGAAAAAAATTTACTATTTCATACATTTTGAGAGAAATAGAGAGAACACAGAAGCAGAGAGAGCAGCATGTGTTGAGATGACCTGTCTTTTCTGGTTGTATTCACTATGGATCCCATCATGAGCATAATGCAGCATGTTCCACCATTTTTTTCCTTCACGCAAAACCTGGAACTGACTGCGCTGGTGTGCTAGGTTCTTTTGAATACATGGAAAATGCTTTGCATGTATTTCTTATGGTGAAAAAAAGCTCTGGACAGCATTTGGATATGGAACAGTTAAAAAAATGCTTCTAAACGTAAGCGCTTATAAAACGCAGTTAGCCGCATTTACAAGCATTTGGCATTTGAAACGCCAGTAACATCTACTCCTGAATACAAGTTTGGTGCGTTAAAAAAAAACGACTGTAAACTTAACTGCCTGTAAACGACTGTGAACGACGATGTGTACATGGACACATAGGAAAACATTAGGGGGAGTTCAGGGGCTGCTGAAAAAAACACTCAACAGCTCCTGAACATCAGTTTATCAGCTGCAGTGTACATGAGCCCTTAGACAAGCAATAGGAATACAGCCATGTCCCATTTTAAAAGTGGACACCAGTAAAAAAAAAAAAAAAAAAAAACACAAATTGACAGCTGACAGGTGTTACTTTCAGGCTGGACTCAACATTTTGAGCACGTTTTTTATGTGCAAAAACAAGTGTGTAAAAAAAAAAAAAAAAAAAAAATTTATATATATATACAGTTGTGTCCAAAATTATTCAACCCCCAATGCTGTAAAGGGGTTTAGGGACTATAGTGTACATTTGGAATTGTATTCAGAATCAAATCCTACAAGGACGTTGTAACTACCCAAATGCAACTAAAATGACATCAATTGTTTATGTAATACAGTAGTAAATGGTTCTTATGTGGTTTCTTCATTGCCACAATTATTCAACCCCTTAAAGACTACCACTCTGAAGAACAGAGGTTCATACAGGTGCTTTCCATCAGGTATTGAAAACACCTGTGGATGTCACCGAGCAGCAATCAAGCATAATAAGCACCAATTAGGCAGCTTTAAAATGACTGTGATACTCAGCTCCTTCTAGACATTTACTGGTGTGGTTACAAACATGGTGAAGGCAAGAGAATGGTCCAGGAAGAAGACAAGAGAAGAGGTGATTTCTCTTCACAGGAAGGGCAATGGCTATAAGAAGATTGCAAAGATGTTAAACATACCAAGAGACACCTTAGGAAGCATCATTCGCAAATTCAAGGCAAAGGGCACTGTTGAAACGCTACCTGGTCGTGGCAGAAAGAAGATGCTGACTTCGACTGCTGTGCGCTACCTGAAGCGTAGAGTGGAGAGAAGTCCCCGTGTGACTGCTGAGGAACTGAGAAAAGATTTGTCAGATGTGGGTACAGAAGTTTCAGCCCAGACAATAAGACGCACACTGCGTAATGAAGGCCTCCGTGCCAGAACTCCCAGGCGTACCCCCTTGCTGTCTCCAAAGAATAAGAAGAGTCGACTGCAGTATGCCAAAAGCCATGTGGACAAACCACAAAAGTTGTGGGATAGTGTTCTGTGGACTGATGAAACAAAATTAGAACTGTTTGGGCCCATGGATCAACGCTATGTTTGGAGGAGGAAGAACAAGGCCTAGATGAAAAGAACACCTTGCCTACTGTGAAGCATGGTGGAGGGTCAATCATGCTTTGGGGCTGTTTTGCTTCTGCAGGTACAGGGAAGCTTCAGCGTGTGCAAGGTACCATGAATTCTCTTCAGTACCAGGAGATATTGGATGGAAACGTGATGCAGTCCGTCACACACCTGAGGCTTGGGAGACGTTGGACCTTTCAACAGGACAATGATCCCAAGCATACCT